TTTGGAGTATTTCTCAAAATTAAATTGTAGCATTGTTATCAAAATAAAAACTAGCCAATATTTCTTTCTTTCAAATTTCATCTTTTTTTTGAGTATAATTGGCACACAATGTTACATTAGTTTCAGGTGTACAGCATAATGATTTGTCAAATTTATAGATTATGCTACATTCACCACAAGTATACCTACCATCTGTCACCATACATTGGCATTAACATATCACTGACTCTATTCCTTATGCTGTGCCTTTTATTCTGTGACTTATTCATTCCATAACTGAAAGCCTGTATCTCCTACTCCTCTTCAAATTTCTTAATGCATTATAAGAAAGCATAACCACGATGGGCAGTGTGCATGTCTATCAATTAATTTCCTGCATCAATTAATTTCTGTATGCCAGTTTCCTCACGTGAAAAACGAAAACCTTGCCACCAACACACTTCTGAGTCTATTATGAGGAAAGAATTTTAACAAGTTTGTATAAATCTGACATCATAAAATGAAAAGCACAATAAATTTCACTCATCATGAAGCCATATCCAGTATATGACACCAAAAAGAAAAAAACAAAAAAGCAGATGTGTCTGAGCCAGGCTTTTATTCCCCACAAAGGAATTAGATATTTATACCCAGTACAAGTGATGAAATTACCACTCTCTTTCTTCCAACATAAAAAAAAAAGAGAGAGAGAAAAGAAAAGACATAATAGCTAACACCTGGGTGGTACTTTAAATTTATAAAGTACTTTTATATGTTATGAATTGCAATTTTTGTAACAAACTTGTTAAGTAGAATTTTTATTTTACATCTGAGGAAAATGAAGCCCATAAAGGTGACTATAACAGGATTGCTCAGCAAGTCTGAGGAGGAACAGTATTTGGACCAGGAATTCCATCTCTGAAGTCTTTCCACTTTCCACCAAACCAAACTAGAATAGCAGATTCTTTGATAACAATATACACCTGGGGGCACCTGGGTGGCATCCGACTCTTTGATTTTGGCACAAGTCACGATCTCAGTGTCCTGGGATCAAGCCCCATGTCAGGTTCTGTGCTCAGCAGGGAGTCTGATGAGGATTTCTCTTCCTCTCCATCTGCTCCTCCCCCCCCTTTAAAATAAATAAATAAACAAATCTTAAAAATATATATATACACCTTGGAAATCAGATAGTCTGAGTAATATCCTGGGTTGGACTAACCCCGGAGTGGTTGGCTAAAGCTCTGAACTTCATTGGCCACTGGTCTTTCATTATCATCTTCATCTTCCAACCTACCCTCAACTTGTCTTCTGGACTTTTTTGCCACTTCATATGCAAATGTCCTCTTTGTACTATGAGGACAGTGATGGAAGGGACTGGGTCTTATTCATGTTGCTTCATAATAGCTCACATATAAGAGACTCTAAACCAATAACTATTTAAGTGAATTAAGTCATCAATTCATGCAACAAAAAAAAAACAAAATGTCTTGAACACTTACTTTATGACTTAGTGCTAGCTCAGTAAACAGGACAGAGAGAGTCCCTGCCATCATGGAGTTTATGGACAGTTGTTGAATATCTAACAATAATAATTATGGTAACTTGAGAAGAGCTGTAGCTTCCCTGAAGAAAAGACATTGAATCTGCCTTCTAAGGTTGAAGGGGAGGGACCATTTAAGGGATGGGGAGGAAAATGCAGCTGAGGCAGAGAGACCTGCACATGCACTAGGATGAGGAAATGCATTCTCTAAAATCCTGTATCTTATGGAACTACCATGGCTCAGAACCAAATCTAATAATGATATTGGATTTTCAGGATAATATAGGCATTGAAACAGATTCAAATAACATCTTCATGTAGATAAATCATGTAGGCTTTCAGATCTTTAGAACATTTCAGTAAATTTATTCAGCCTTCCTATAAAAATAGGGGGTAAGTATATGGTTCTCTCTCTTTTATCTGAAACTAACCATTTTACGTCATAGGTAGAGATTCGATATTCTAATTGCTGTCAAGCCTGGTTAAGAAACTGGATTCTTATGAAACCAGTAGAAAATGTTATAAAGATTTATTTAGTCACAGCTGTTTTTACAAAGTAGTATCAAATTTTATAGTTCTATTCGTACTTCCAATTGTAAATTAAGTCTTTATTCAGTGGGATTTGGGGAGTTGTTATATAAGGTATCATGTGGTATTCCATGTTGTAGAAAACACAATAAATCACATTGCTTTAATGGCAGCTGCTTTATACATGTAATTAAAACAAGATGTTTGCACAGCCTATAATTTTACAACTTTAAAGCTTGACATAAAACTTATACACATATGTAAACTGCCAGAAAGACACATGCTTTTATTATATGTAGACAGATACTGAATAACCACTGAGAAATCTCTATAAGATATTGGTACGTCCTGAATTTTGCCCCCCAAAATTTGTGTTGAAGCCATAACCCCAGTACCTTAGAATGTGACTTCGTTTGGACACAGGGTCTTCAAAGAGATAGTAAAGATCAAATAAGGATCAAATGAGGTCATACAGGTGGGGCCCTAATCCAACAGGACTTGTGTCCTCATAAGAAATAGAAAAAACACCAAGGATGTATGAGTACAGAAAAAAAGGCCATGTGAGGACAGAGTGAGAAGGTGACCATCTGTACGCCAAGGAGAAAAACCTCAGATGAGACCAAACCTGATGACACCCTGACCTTGGACTTCCCAGTCTCCGGAACTGTGAGGAAATTTCTGTGGTTTAAGCCCCCCAGTCTATAGTATTTTGATACAGCAGCTGTTATAGGCTAAATTATTTCCCACCAAACTTCCTATGTTGAAGGCCCATAACCTGCAATGTGACTGTATTTGAAGATAGGGCCTTCATGGAAGTATTAAAGGTTAAACGAGGTCATAAAGGTTGGATCCTAATCCAATAGGACCAGCACCCTTATAAGAAGAGAGACACAACCAGAGAATGTTCCCTCTATGTCTGCGTCCACAGAGAAAAGGACACAGTGAGAAGGCAGCTGTCTAAAAGCCTGAAAAGAGAGGTCTTACCAGAAACTGGATTTTCAAACACCTTCATCTTGCACTTTGAGCCTCCAGAACTGTGAGAAAATTGATTTCTGTTGTTTAAGGCCCCCAGGCTGTAGACTTTGTTATGGCAGGCCAAGCAGACTGATAGAGCAGCAAACTAACACAGATATATATTTTAGTCATAAATACGCTTTTACAAGTATATGCATGTACATGCGGACTGCCTAGGTGTAGTGGAATTATCTAGAGTTGTATTTGAAAACAGTGGGAAGACTCTTATTATGGCTTTGCATATTAAAATTTTTGTTAGCTTAAAAATGAGTATGCATAATTTATGTTTATGCAGCCAGACTGTATTTGGATATAAATTAGGAAAAACAATTGTTTTTATGAAGTGCAGTCAATATATGGGTACCCTCAAAGGAAAAATGTTTTGGACATATTCACGAGTTGATTATTTCAGCTTTCAGACAGAACATAAGAGGCTGGACTTAATCTACCTGCAGTCATCAAAGAAGCACATTAAACTTTGGACTCCACTGGTTCAAATTAAACCTTTTACATGCACTGTTATATTCCTGTCACTTTTCAAGTTACCTTAAGGAGCTTTTTGTGAGTTTAATTAAGCCTGACTAATTCTCTAACAGCACAAAGAAAGATGAATTCCTTAAATATTTAATCCATTTATGACTCCAAGTGTCATTTTCTGAATGTGGCTGTTAAATTCTTGGACTTAATTACCCTTTGGATTAAAGCTGCTTTTTCAAGACATACAGTCACAGCTCACACAATGCGTAAATTCAATATTTCGTCTGTTCATCAAGAGAATTTATTCCAAATGCTGTATTTAAAATCCCAACCTGGCAGGCTTATCTGTGACCACGGAACTCAGGAATCTTTGACTGTAAGCTTCCTTCCAATCAGGTTCTTGGTCTTCCTTCCGCTGCCCGTTTCAGCCAAGTATTAACAAGCTAAAAGTTAGCTGCCCTCCACCTGCACTATCTCCATTCTTTTTCATTGTTAACTCCCTTCTCCTTAACTCATGTTCAAGCCCCGTCTCCTTCAGAAAGCTCTTCCCCTATTACAGTCAGCAGACAACATAACATAATCCTAGGTCCCTCCATCCCCTTTGTATCCTCCTAAAACACTGAACGCACCATGACTTGAACTACACATTTTCTATTTGTTCTCTCCCAGTATTTTGAAGGTGACCCAAGACTGGCAGCTGTGTTCCTCAAGACTAGATCCCCCAAGAAGACAAGAACAATCAGGCAACCACATCCATAGAGCAGGTAATACCCTCAGAACCAGAAAACTGGAAAACTGGACCCGCGAGGGGCCAGAAAACCACACGCATGGTCGTACTCACGCACACACGCAGCCACAAAGATGGAGGCACACAGGCACAACACCTGAGTGCCTCCTGATTTGTTAGCGCTCCACAGTCATTCCCCTGCCCCCAGCCCCATGCCAGATGCCGAGGTTGCGGGAGCTGCTGGTTGACTCAACTTCTACTGGAAAAAGCTGCCTTTTGACTGAAATTCAAATTCGCTGACGGATGTTCAGAGATTGGTAGATTATAATTATCTATTTAGCTCTCACATTTACAAGTCTCAATTTAGGGAAAGCTTCTCTTCAGACATCGTTTTCTAGCATTAGCAATATAAACAGTCACTGAAAAAGATTTCCAGAACAATTCACTGAGCAGTCTTCCTTTCCTTCCATCGCCACCTCCCACAAACCTCTGATTTAAAATATAAGTATTTACATCTAAAATGTAAGACACAAAATGGCATGTTAGAATCTCCGTTTCCAGGCACTTCCTATTAAAACTAAAAATGTGTTATAAAAATACTTGTGTTGCAAAGAAAAATAGGAATAGGAATAGGCGACAACGAATTAGAAGGGAAAACACTGCACTGCCCTGGTTGTTGGGACCGAAGTAGCCAGCACTGGGGGGCCAGGGGCGCCCTGGGGGGCAGGTACCTACCGCCTTTCATCATGCCTACTTCGTAGCACTTGCGGAGCCGGCAGGCCTGACAGCTTTTCCTCCTGTTCTTGTCAATCGTGCACTGGTTGGTAGCTGGACACATGTAGTCATTATGTCCTATTAAAAGCAAGAGGACAGAATTAATATTATTTCAGGAAACGTAGCCAGGCAGAATCTACAGGGAAGCCGCCTGGGGGATGTTTTCCTATCACTTACTTGGCCTGACTGTGCCGCTAGCTCTGCATATGCCATCCCTCTGCTGCCCTTCTCCAAGTTGGGGGGGGGGCGGGGGGCAGGGGGGCCGGGGAGGCGGGGGGGGAGCCGGGGGGGCGGGGGGGGAGCCGGGGGGGCGGGGGGGGAGCCGGGGGGGCGGGGGGGGGCGGGGCGGAGAGAAATCTCTCCTAGACTTGATTTTTGCCTCTGCCAACTGCTTCAGGAGTTCTTTGGGCAAATCACCTTCAGCTCACACAGCTTATATTTGGGGGCAAAAGGCTTTATATACATTCACACATTTTCTCAGCAAATAAGGCTTTTTTTTTTCTTTGACCCACACCACTAGCTAAAAATCCTTGTCGGAGTAACACTGTTAGAACTTTCAGAGACTTTCAAAGTTTCTTAAAATAGAATTTAGAAAATCTTTAGGTAGGTATTCAAATGCAGCCTGGAACACCTAAATTCAAGTGGGGGGCTGTGAGCTGGGATGGCAGCAAAGATCAGTCCTTATTCACTTACTAGCTGGAGAATGCTGAGTGGGGTAGTTAACATCTCTAGGTCTCACCCCTCTCTAACCTGGAGAAAATAAGGGCGCCTGTTATGTGGCACTATTCTAAGAAGTAAATGTGAGAATACCTGTCAAGGGCTTACCACAGTGCCCAGGATATGGTGAGCATTCAATAAATATTTGTTGTTGCTACTGTTACTTTATTATTGATCCTCTTTCTTTTACCTCTTGTTTACTGCATCTCTCTTGCTCAAATGGTCTTTCTCATTCACGTTCATCATGTGCAACTCCCGGGACCTCACATCACTCTCAAACTTTCATCTTACCTCCCATCTCTTCTTCTCAGTTCAACTCCTCAGAAAGGTCTACACACTTGAGGTCTGCTTTTTCCTCACCTCCCCTGCATAGCTCAACCCATGCCTGTTTTCTACCTTAGCTGCCCCACAAAAGCTGCTTAAATCCTTCTATCAAATGACTCCTATTGCTGAATTCAACAGATATTTTCAGTCCACATCATATTTGACCTATCAGAGCATCTGACAATTCCTCCCTTCCTCTTGAAACATGCTTTTCCCTTGGCTTCCATAATGCAGAACTCCCCCCCCACCCCCCGTGTTCCTTCCCCCTCAGGCTGTGGCTTCCCAGTGTTACTTGCAGATTCCCTCCATCCAACATTAAGCTAGAGCGGCACAGGGCTCAGTGTCAGACCCTTCTTATGACTCCAGATTTTCCCACAAGAGAATTTATTCCATGGCTCCGTCTTCCACAGTCATAAACTCAGATGACTTGCAGATTTGTACTCCCAGCCCAACCCTCTTCTCTGAGTTCTGAGTACATACAGCCAATTGCCCACAAGAAGTTTCTGCTCTAAAATTTAGAGGTCACCTCCATTTCTTTAGCCCTCAAAAGAAGTCTGGTTTCTAATGTGGAGTATATTAAACTCCACAAATTAATAAACATTGGCATGTTTTTATGAAGAAGTCCATTTATATAAGTCTAAATTCTTATACCTGAATTTAGACCATGGAGATGATGTGGACTATTTTAAAATGTTTCCCGTACTCAAAAAAAAAAAAAAAAAAAAAAAAAGAGGAAATATTGCACCTTCTAATTCAGATCATCTGTATCTCTATTTTCCATTCACCAAGGGCAAGATGCAACATGTACTGAAGTGTTTTCACTACAGAACTCTTTGTTCTTTATTCAATTTAAGGGTCAATCTCAATTAGAATAGGGTGGAGTTGGGCCTTAACAAGAAATGTTGGTCTCATAAAACTTGTTTCTCCATCTTTAGATATACATTATAAAAGTACTATATAAACAGGCTTCCGATGAAATTAACATGTGCATTCTTTTTTCGCATCATAGGAACCAGCAAACTAGCTAGCAAAACTGTAAACTGACCACTTTAGTAAGAGACCACACACTGCCTCAAATATCCAGGCACAATTTTCATGTTTAGAACTGCCCTTATTAACAGGGACAAGATGAGGAAATCATAGAACCAGAAACAAAATTTACCTGGTCAGACATTAACTTTAAGCAAAAGTTGCTGTCTTGTGACACCTCAAAGAAACTTTCAGTGTTTTGTCCCCTATGATGCTTATGCTGTACATGCTGATTTATTTTAACTCTAAAAAAATGAGTCTATATTAAGTCTCAGAAGAAATAATCATCTGAACCAAAAATTAATTTTGATTTCCTTTCCTCTCAAAAACCAGTTATTTTGCAAGCCAGAAGACGGGAGAACTGAATTGCATCAGAGGCCAATTGGTGAAATGTTTTATGTTTGCATTGGCCATCATTATAGATGTGTATCTTTATAGAACCAAGTGAAATTCCTGAACTAACACGTTTAACAGATAAAATACACTGGATTTGTGCAACTGAATTCATCCCTTAACAAGAAAGAAAATAGATGCACAGCGGAATCATGTTTGTAATACAAGCCTTAGGTGAAAAAGTGGATTTTCTCCTGCTCTAACTACATTAAAATTTAGAATTGGTAAATTGGCAACAAGAAAAAATGAACAGGTACATATCTGATATATGAACTATAAGTTTAGTACCTTAACTAAACACCATTAACAACTACTTATAAGTCTTCAACTGACATCAAAGAAGGAAAACAGCAAGGTAGGTTTTTATTCTTTGAGTATAATAATTTTGTAAAGGTGTGTTATTTTTTCTTTTTTCAAATAGGCTCCACACTGGGCAGGGCTCGAACTCAGGACCCTGAGATCAAGACCTGAGCTGAGATCAAGAGTCAGATACTTAACCAAGTGAGCCACTCAGGCACCCCAGTAAAGGTGTGTAATGAAAGCAATTGAAGCAATTAAAAAGTTAGTTTCTTTAAGAAGAAACTTCACTCGAAACTTTATTATTTGTTCTTGTGAAAACAATGCTTGCAAAAACTCTATCCTATTGGAGTAGAGCTAATTAAAAAAAAAAAAAAAAACTTACACTGACTGTATGAATGAAACAGTGTTTTCACTGGAGACACTGAAGAACTCCACGTACGTGTGACAAGACCAGCCCCCCAGATGAAGTGTGAAAGGCCAAAGCCAAGATGTGAGGCTCAGGTGACATCTTGGAGAAAGAATCACTATTTTGTTGCCCAGCAAAAAATAAAAATAACGCCTTTAGACTAATGGGTCTGAATAACTGGGAGTGGAGAGAAGAGGAAATGGATGAAACCTAAGCAGAAAGCATGAGGAGCAGGAACCTGCAGGCCAAGCCACACAGCTCCTGGGCCAGCAGAAGGGCACACATACAGCTTTTCTCCACAGGTCTCTGGGATTCCTTCTCTCGACTTTTTGTTTTTCCTTTTCTTCCTATTTTACCCTCTGTCAGTAGCAGCTGTTTTTGCCTTGTTACCAACCCGTAGAAAGACGACACTTGCTGGTTACAAAAATAAGCAATGACCCATAGTCAGAGATTCAAAAGAAATATAAAACAGACCAAATGGGAAACAAGCAGGTCTCTGAGGACTCAGAGAAAAGGAAGCCCTCGCGCACTGTTTGGTGAGAATGCAAACTGGTGCGGCCGCTGTGGAAAACAGTATGGCGGCTCCTCAAGAAATTAAAAATAGAGCTACCCTACGATCCAGTGTTTCCACTCCTGGGTATTCACCCGAAGAAAACAAAATCATTAACGCAAAGAGATATCTGTACTACCATGTTCATAGCAGCGTTATTCATCGTCGCCAAGGTATGGAAACAACCTAAGTGTCCATTGACAGATAAATGAAGAAAGAAAAGGTGGTATTTATATATTTATATAAATATATTGTGGAATATTATTCAGCCTTAAAAAAGAAAGAAATCCTATCATTTGTGACAACATGGATAAATCTGGAGGGCATTAGGTTAAGTGAAATAAAGCCAGACACATACGCATGGGGTCACTTCTGCGGAGTCTTGAGACTAATAAGGTCTAAGGACCTGATGTATAACATGGTGACTATAGTTGATCACACTGGTATCACTGAAATCTGCTCAGAAAGTAGAACTTAAATGTTCTCCCCACAAAAAAGTAAACACATGAGGTAATGGATGTGTTAAATCAGTGGAGGGAACCCTTTCACAAAATATAGGTATAGCAAATCATCACAAGGAACACTTTAAATATCTTATAATTTTGTCAGTTATGCTTCAATAAAGCTGAAAAAAAAAATAAAACAAGCAGTACCCTGAGAAAAACTTAACATTGGGTATCTTTCCTTGTGCCACACTTTTCCCTCAGCCTATTCTGGAGGTCATCTCAGAGCAAATCTCTTTTGCCGAACTTCACACCCATATACCTACCTGCCCACGGTCCATTTAGACTTCAGGTTTTCATAGCCTATTCAAGATGGACGTGTCCCAAACACAACTGATGGCCATCTCTCCTCATCAGTCTCTTCTTTTTTATAACCACACCACAAAGCCTGAGACCTGGCGTTATTGCAAGACTCTACCCTCTTCCTCACTTGAACCCTCACACACATGCACACACTGATCAAATCAATTATTTTTAAATTCGTTTTCAAAGCAAAATCAATTTTTCCCTGGGCCCACCATCCCTACCATAACTCATACCATCTCCAGCCCAGATTATCTCAGCAGCCCACTAAGCCACCCTGCCTCCAGCCTTCCCCTGTCAACCATTCCCCACTGTGTTTCCAGGTGATTCTTCTAAAATCATACACCACCATGCCACTATCCTGCTTTGATATTCTGATGCTCCTCAAAGCTCTAAGGATAAAATCTAAATGCCTTAAAACAGCTTATCAAGCTGTTCCTGATCAGCTCCTACCTCCTTTCCTGACCTTATCTCTTCCACTCTCTAAGTTCTAACCATGTCCTGTTCTAACATAGCCTTCTCCTTCTCACGCCCAGGACGGCACACACCGTTC